GCGTCGTTATCCCCCTGGAAAAAGGTTATGCAACACCCTGTACTGGTAAAAAAAAAACTACTAGACAAACATATAGACGTATTTATGATAGAGATGGACTAGCACTTTTCTCGAGTAGTTCAGTATTTTGTATTTTTCGAAGTGTTGAACAAAAAGCGGAGATCGGTTTTACGTCTGTTCGATGCTGATTTTTCTGCGCTACAAAACTGTATAAAATACTATGTCTTTTTATGCTTTGATTGAGAGGAAATTAATTCGAAAGCAAGTACTTGGAAAGTGATAAAATATTCGAGCACTAATCCTCCGAATACTTGCTTTCGAATTAATTTCCTCTTGATCAAATCATAAAAGACGTAGTATTTTATACAGTTTTGTAGCACGGAAATAACTGTGTCGAACAGACATAAAACTGATCTCCGCTTTCTGTTCAACATTTTGAAAAATATAAAATACTAAAGCACTCAAGAAAAGTATTCACCCATCTCTGATTTATGAACATGAACTATTGAGACAATATATAAGTTTCTCAATATTTTTCGACTATTTTAAATACTAGTCAACTCTTGTCAATTATATCGAATCGATCATAAGGTACTCATTTATCTTGGCCTACATGATCCACTTTTCTAAAACTGTTGCGTCTCAAAAGATGAATCAATAGTTAAAAGATGAATGCATCTGATTGAAAAAAGTCCTGCCCAAGACAAATTATTATAGTAGGACTAATGAATCAAAATTGAAATCAGCTTCTCCAATTATAGAATCTTTCAGAATTCTAGATGAAAATCAAATCTCGATACATGAATATATTCTATTTAAAATAATTGTTTTTTGTAACACATCCATTATACGAAATTTTACTTTGAATATAGACGATACGTTTTATAGTCGCTTCTGATTTTATTTGAATTATGGTACAAGAAAGTTTTTATTAATGATGTGCTATCCGATACTTATGAACCTTGTAGTAAGATTAAAGAACCAAGGTTTACTAATATTTTTGTTAAAATGTGTATTTTCAAGGATGAAGCTATTGAAAGTACACATAAAAGTGCTTTAATTCAGTTCTCATTTTTTAATCCTAATAAAGAAAATATTTTCCCATATTTCTTAAAATTTTATAAATTATAAGCCACTATTTTACAACTGAAAAAGGTGTTTTTGCCGTAAAAAAAGATTTTATCTCAACATGTATATGCGATATAGAAAAATGTTACCGTCTTTTAATCGCCATGTAGAGTGTTGTTCTTTTTTTACCAACGTGGATGATGGTAGAGATAAACGTAATTGTGTGTATTGAGTTTCACTTCACATCTTCGACCACGATAATTTTGTGGACACGAGCAATAGGGTCTGCCATAGGCATTTCCACAGCGTCCACCATTATAGCACCAATCGGAAGCACATTGTCGTACGCACGTAGATTGACAATTGGGACCATAGTAATTCGTCGGACATAAACAACATGCTTGTAATGATATTGGGTTCACTATGCATGTACCACCATTTTGACATTTGTTTGGCTGAGCTACACATGGATTACTCACGATAGGACTAGTTGGACAATTGGGATTTCCAATTATGTTATTTGGACACAAACAGATGTAAGCAAGAGGATTTACACTTGTTGGAATACATGTTGCACCGGCTTGACATGTCACAGTGTCACAAGCATTTGGTACGACAATGGTTGGTACAGTTGTTGTTGTCACTGTTCCTCCGCATAATGCTGGATTTGATTGAAGTGTCAAATCTGGACACAGGCAGGAGAAAAGGGTTCCTGTCTGAACACATGGAAGTGCACCACAGACTAGTTGATTAGCAGCTGGACATTGACTGTAAGAATAACCAAACAATAACGTAATGACAAGGATACAATACATGATTGTTAGGTCGTTGATGATGTTGAAAACGGTGTGAATGTGTATGTATTAGTAGAGTATAGTCCTATATATATACATGGAGCAAATTGTTTGACGGAATATAAATCGATAACAAATATTTTGACAAAATAATATTAAGTTTATTTCTACTGATATTTGATATTCACAGAAAAGTAATACTTTTGTTGTGAATATTTAAAATTTTATTATTGCGTCATTAAATAAACGAATATGTACGATGACAATCGAGTTCAGAAAAAAACTTAGAGTATAATGTATTTGTTTAAGCTTAAATTTATAAATGTGTGTTCGCCGAAATGCTACATGCCATAACGAAGAGAATTTAACGAGAAATCTATATGTTTTTTTTTATATTACGAGCATTTCAAATTGTTTGATAACAAACTAATGCTAATCCTTTACATCCTGGTAAAGAGTTGACAAGTTTTGAATAGCAAACACACTTGAAAACAATTTTTTGACATTGAAAATTGTAAGTACATTGAAATAGAAGTGTGCAGCGTGACCCTGTCATATGCTGCTCTACACTAATGGAGTAGGATAAGGTTAGGATATAAAATATTTTTATAGGATACACAAAACTCATAGGTCCCTCACCGCATGCTTCTACATTGAGAGGAGTTTCTTTTCTGCATTTTAAAATAAATTTCTTCAAATTTGGAAATCTTTTTACTTCGAAATTAGAGTTTGACCGAAATATTTTTCCGACATCAAAAGTAGTATGAAAAAGTTACCCACTTCAAAGTGAGGTTAAGAAAAGTCTACGTTATCCCAGTTATTTTTTATCACTTTCGTTCGCCTTGTTCTCCTCTTCGTACTCTAAGTATGTTTTCTATTGTATTATATATAGAGTTGTAGCCCGTTTTTAGCTCGTTCATTTGATATATAAATGTTAGTTAACCTCTTTCGGATGACGGGTACACGACGACTAGGAACGAAGATGCCAAAAAAAGTATTCTATCAACTAGATGAGATTTTTCAGATTTGTTAATCTAAAATCCACAACATTTCAAATTATTTTAATATGGTTCGAAACTGCGCACTCTGGCGAGTAAATTGGGATATAATTTGTTCAGAAACAGTTTAAAGGAGAGGACCGCCAAAACAATCAAATGAGAAAGGCCGCTCATTTTTTACCAAATTGAGTCTGTAGCTTGAAAATAGTTTTTTGGGTACTTTCACTTCTAATCGTCGTGTACCCGTCAGCCGAAAGAGGATAACTAACATTTATATATTAACGGAAAGAGCTGAAAATGCGCTACAACTCTATATATAATAGGATAGGAAACGCACGTGAAACAAGGTGAACAAAAGTGATGAGACAATCCATATAGTCTTTTTATGTAAATGAAAGTATACAATTGTTAGTTGTTACTTTTACTCTTAATTTCAGAGTAAACTTTATTATTATCTCTTCAAGTTACATAATAGTGTGCGATATAAGAAATTCGACTGCTACATTGTTTTCAACTAAAACTTTATTTATATTCAGATCAGATTTTAGTATATTAATATTATAACCGTATTATTTACAGGATTCTTTAACAGGGATTATTTATTCAGGTTTCACATTTTGAATAATACTCGACAGGCGATTTGACATTGAATTTGTTGTTAATGATGCTTGTCCGAGACTTTCATAATAATCGTGAGCTGTTTTAATACTATCTGTTGCTTCTAGTTTAAAAAATTAACATTGACAAGTCACTGTTACGTGTCTGATACGTTTTGTTTAGAGACTAGTACATTACTTTTTATCGAAATACCGTTGTGTTAGTGACTTGAAAGCAAATAATATTTTATGATGCAGAATTATCACAAACAGATGGTAGTTTCTGATGAATAATTATTTTGTAATTAATCTACATACGCTGATTTACGTATTTCAACATGGGTAGTAAAGATAATCAAGATTCTTATTCTTTAAGTTTTTAAAAAACGAGGAAAGTTGTCAAATCTGACGTGCCATTTGGTTTCTATACGAAAAATGTGTTCGTTATATATAATTACAAAAAAAATTGTATTTACATTGTACAAAAGCTCTGTATTACATGTAAAAGAAATATTTCAAACTCATTTTGAAACACATATAATACAACAGCAGAGGCGAGATTCAAAACACCTAAAGGATTTTTCAGGTAAAATCATAAAATTTTGCAGGTTAATTCCAAAAACTTTTCGAAAGGCAAAAAACTAGTTTCCAGTCTCCAGTTAATTTATATCAGAAATCCGTAGATTATTCAGCAAATGGATCGCTGAGCATAGTCTTCGTGTAGACTGACTTCATCGTCTGTCAAATATTGTAAGAAATTGAGTGTACATCATCAACCACTTTTGGGTAATATCAAAGATGAAAACTCGTTCAGCTCTGTTTTCTATATTATTCAAAGGGCGAGGTACGTTTTCTTCCGAAAAATCGGAATTCTGGCCGTAGTTCGTAATTTTCTTCATTAGAACTCATATTTTACGCAATAAAAATATCATATTCGGAATCCTCGTCAAAAACTGAGACGAATAGTGTACTTTTTTTATCCTATCCGACAAGTAATGTTCGTCTGGCGATTCACACAGCCTATTGACTATAAGTAGATCGCAGTTGGTTGCTTCGCACGGAAAGAAAATTTGACCTCGACGTAAAAAATTTTAATCAGAAGGGTTACAGACACCGATTTTATCGGCCGATAGTCGTTCGACTCGTCTACACGAGGATGGGTAATATCTTAGACTGAAAGAGAGACTATATGTTGTTGATGTGCCTTTTTGAAGTCTCTCTCAAGATTCTAGCGATCTCAGATAAAGTGTCATCATCTGAGGAATCTCATGAGTTTTCACGGGATGAGCACGAAATCAGAGAGATTCTAAGCGGAAAAGTACAGGATTCAACAGTTCTACGGAAATCCTGGTAACCGATAGAAATCTGTAAAAAGATAATTTATCGATATTCTATTCTCTTTCACTCACTCTCAACACTCTAAAAAAAAAGCGTCGTTTACTAAACCCAAAAGGGGTTTAGCAAAATGCAATGACACGCTACCGCTTCAAAAGTTTAGTAA